TTGCGTAAAACGTGATTGAAACACGTTTATATTTATACGTGAGATATTAGTAACTAAGGAATGATACATATAATTTATATAGAAACTCTACAAGTTGACTTGGAATCATTATTATAATTGATAGTATAATTAATTATATAATTATAGTGTATTTAATAGGTATTATGAAATTAGTAGGTATTACTATGAAATTGGTATTATTTAATATTTTAAATATTTTATATTTTAAATATTTTATATTTTTTTAATATTTTATATTTTAGAATGAATAAAATAATAGAAACGACGCAATTCCACATCCTAACCACACACACATATGCGGAAAATACGTCGTGCACGATACGCTAACACAGTGTCAGTCGCTGAAAAATTTTTTATGAAATTACAAACTATAGTCATCATGCCCAATGTCTTTCACCCACCCAAGTAGCACCTGGGCACGTGAGTGAGATCCTGACAGTGAACACGGAAGGGGTTAAATCTGAAAATCCTGAACTAAAAAAATGATTAGTTTATGTAATTTGTATCTAACGGACTATTGCATTATTTTATTTCAAACTGTAATAACTCTGTTCTTTAAAAAATTATTGAAATTACAAGACAATGAAGACAATGGACAAGAATTGAATTTATTAAACAAGATACTATGAAATGTAATAATTGACTCAAACAATCAAAATCAAACAACTGACTCTGAATTAAATATTAATAGAAATAACCTCAGGCGATTTCTTCATCAAAGCACATTTTCAAAAATGCGAAAGCAATATTCAAACTTGTTGCCTTGATTCAAAAATCTGCCTGTCGCGAAGTATTTTCTTGCACATAAAATTTCATACATTTTTCTACGGAAAGAATTCTAATCTATTATATATAATCAAATTGTATTGAAGTTCATAATTATAAAATTCAATTAATTAAATCATTTAATACCATTATCATTGTTTTATCAATATTTAATACTATTATAAAAGGGAAGATAAAGTTAAAAATTATTGATTATCATAACAATTATTAGTTATTAATTATCAAAATATATTCTCAGTATATTAACAAGTAATAACTGCCTCTTTCATAGTAACGAAGTCGGAGGATATCCGTCTTCTCTACTACGAAATGCTCAAATGAAATCATTTTAATAATAATTTATCTATTCATGTTGATATTAATATGAATATTTTGCTTTTACAAACATTTACATTGAATATATTTTGATTTTACAAGTAATTACTGTAATTGTATATGTTCAAATTAATTGTTAAAATCGCGATGTGCAAGAAGCCCTATCCTGATCTAACACATAAAAAACCTGAAAAAGATGTTACTACTCACGGATATAAAAAATATCCGCGGTCACTATGCTCATCAAAAATTCTATGTAGACAACCAGTCACACGTGCCGATTCGGACCTTTCGTCCTACGACATGATTGAGTAACCGGAGGAACTTAAATGCATGCGACTCACGCAACAGATGTGAAGAACGTTATTATCGATGCTGCACTAAATCAGAGAAAGTTATCGTGAAGATCCTCATTAACTAGATACCCATGGTGGAAGTGAATGCCGTGAAAAATATCCTAAAAAACATAAAATATTTCGTTCCTAAAGACACAGTGTTATTGGTGAAAATTTAAATTTTAATAATGATAGAAATTCGGACTAATAATTTGAAGTGTTTTTATTTTATAATTATAATTTTACATTCGACTTTAATAGAAAGAATACTATAGATAACAGAATTCAAATACAACATACTAAAGTACATACATTTTTGCTTTTGAAGCATCATAAGAGCCTCAAAAGATTAAGGGAAGTGGAGATTGTAGAAAATCTGTAACAAAATACTAAACATTAGAATTTATGTTTAAAAGCAAAGCAAAATCTTAAATTGGAGATAATGAGAGATTCTTACATTTTTGGCTTTAGAGTTACCGTTGGATTTTCCCCAAAATATACCAACAAGTTGATGCTATGAAACATCTGTAACAAAACATCAAACATTATATTTTGTTGTCAAATTTGAAAAATTGAGGAAATTGAAGTATAATATATAAAATTACTTACGATCTTGATTTTCTGGAGACGCCTTATCCCCTTGAGCACTCACTTTAATACCGGAAACGAATATTGAACAAGATAAAATACTAAAAAAGAAAAATAAAACACTACGCGCACGTTTAAGTAACAGTAGGCGAACTCACTGACTCTATCTTTGCGAATTATAATTTAAATGAATTAATAATCTAATTTAATGAGAGCTAATTTTGCTCAGAAAAATATTAAAATACACATTGTGCAACAGACACTGACTCTACCGACCGCATTGCGCGCGGTCACAAAAATTTTCTGAAAATAAAGCTGATTAGAAGCAGAAGAGGAAAGGATATATTCATTTAGAAAATACTGTTATTTTTATTTTAGAAAATGATCATAAACTTGAATATGCAAAGATATTAGCTGGAAATTATAAAGTTGTATAATATTATTTATTATGTATATAATATTTGTAGAAATTATGTTCTGAATATTCGTTATTAAAGTGAAGTATACACATTAGTAATATCCTGTCATATATTATAAATATTCGAAAATGTTTGCACAAATCAAAATTTCACAACTAAACATGTATAAAAAATTATATACTTGTGAAATTTTGCTCTGAATCGTTCAATTGCGTGTCAGCGTTCGGAAAAAGTACATTATGGCAAAGTATAGTATAGTAAAGTATGAAAATTTTGAATTTAATAATCTAATACAAGAGTATATATTCATTTCAAAAGCATATACTATTAAACTACGATCTCCATATTCAAAACAAAATATTAATTGATTTCATCAGTTCTATTTTCATCTTTGTATATCATATAATTACAAAATTGCTGTGAGTTGTATTCCAAATATATATAAATTGTACACCAAATGTTGTCTAAAATGAATAAAATGTTACCAACTTTCCATGGAAATTCATCAGATTGTTCATTACTGATCATAGTATTCTATGCTATCTTTGCAACCAAGGAATAACCTGCACAAAAAGAAACCAAAAGTTAGAACAAATATGTCAAATGAAGGCAAATATGTAAAAGTGAATCGATAATCAGATCAGCTTCAGATTCTATTAAAAAAGCATACGAGACAGATTTCATTATATTACAGAGTAAAATTATTATTATAACTATTAAATATGTATATTCTCAATAAATCATTGTTAATACAATTATAAGAATTGTTAAGAATTACATAATATGAATATCAACAAATAATAGAAGTGTATGTGTAAAAAGATATAATAAAATATGTGTGTATGTGTGTGTGTGTGTGTGTGTATATATATATATAAAACAATGAGTGTCAATTACAAGGTCACAATATTTGTACAGGTTAGAATTGATATTAAATTTTGGTATAAAATTATAAATAACTTTTAGCATAGTATGTTCTGTTTAAACGTTTATATGCTATTATTTCTTAATTGTTGAAAATTATATGTAATAATTATTTGGTTAAATCTTACCTTGAGTTGAAGCTAAAAATGCACGTTTTATTTTAAAAATTCACAATACAAAAACAAATCCAAAAACTATTGATTTATATTTTACATAAGAACTTTTGAATAATACTTCTTTCTGGATAACTCTTCTGTATAAAACTTTCTTCTTTACAGATGTAGCGTCCTCCCTTCAGCCATGTTTCCCGTTTAAAACTCGATCGTGAGAAATATCGATCAAGATTCGAGAATAGTAGGAAGTATATTCCATACTTCACCGTTGTGGCGCTGTAATCGCACGTTTCACATGATAATTTGGAATAAAAAAATTAAAAACTCTATTTCAAATCAAATACACAAAATTCATGAGATATTCTTAAAAGAAAACGAAAAAATTCATATACTTGATGAAAAATTGTCAACACTTTGCTGGAACATAAGAAATTTTGTTATATTACATAGAAGAATTATTATTTTAGCCATTAAATACGTACATCCTCAATAAATTATTGTTCGATTTAGTATTGGAATTGTTAATAATTATGCGGTATAAAGTTTAAGAATTGACAAATTAATAGAAAATATTACAATAGAAACAAAAGCATATTATATACATCATACAAAAATAGTAGTCATATTACAAGATTTGAGTTAGGTTACAATATTTGTACAGATTAGAATTGATATTAAATTTTGGTATAAAATTATAAATAACTTTTAACATGATATGTTCTGTTTAAACGTTTATATGCTATTATTTCTTAATTGTTGAAAATTATATGTAATAATTATTTGGTTAAATCTTACCTTGAGTTGAAACTAAAAATGCACGTTTTATTTTACAAATTCACAATACAAATACAAATCCAAAAACTATTGATTTATATTTTACATAAGAACTTTTGAATAATACTTCTTTCTGGATAATTCTTCTGTATAAAACTTTCTTCTTTACAGATGTAGCGTCCTCCCTTCAGCCATGTTTCCCGTTTAAAACTCGATCGTGAGAAATATCGCGATCAAGATTCGAGTATAGTAGGAAGTATATTCCATGTTTCACCGTTGTGGCGCTGTAATCGCGTGTTTCACATCATAACTTGGAATAAAAAATGGAATAAAAATTTTGTTTTAAATCAAATACACAAAATTCATGAGATATTCTTTAAAAAGAACGAAAAAGTTCATATTTGATGAAAAATTGTCAACATTTTACTGAGACATAAGAAACTTTGTGACATTATATAGTAGAATTATTATTTTAGTCATTAAATACGTACATCCTCAATAAATTATTGTTGGATTTAGTATTGGAATTGTTAAGAATTATGCAGTATGAGGTTAAAGAATCAACAAATGAATAGAAAATGTTACAATAGAAACAAAAGCATATTATATATATCATGAAAAAGTAGTTATATTACAAAGTCACAATATTTGTACAGGTTAGAATGAATATTAAATTTTGGTATAAAATTATAAATAACTTTTGGTATAGTATGTGCTATTTAAAAGTTTATATGCTATTATTTCTTTAATTGTTGAAAATTATATGTAATAATTATTTCGTTAAATCTTACCTTGAGTTGAAGCCAAAAATGCATGTTTTATTTTAAAAATTCACAATACAAACACAAATCCAGCAATTATTGATTTACATTTTACATAAGAACTTTTAAATGATCTCTCTGGATGATTCTTCTTTAAATAAAATAAAACTTTCTTCTTTACAGATGAGGCGTCCTCCCTTCCGCCATGTTTCCCGTTTAAAAATCGATCGTGAGAAATATCGATCATGATTCGAGAATCGTAGGAAGTATATTCCATGTTTCACCGTCGTGGCGCTGTAATCTTCAATTAATTTAAACCTAATACGCGCGTATTTGGCACGAAATATTAACTTTAAATAAAAAATAAAAAACTCCAGTCTAAATTAAATACACAAAATTGATGAGAAATTCTTAAAAAGAAATGAAAATATTCATACACTAGATGAAAAATTGTCAATACTTCAAATTGTGAAAGATAATTGTAAAGCAATTAATTTTATTTCAAAACGCGAAGTCTCTATTTTAATAATCCTGAGTTCATTTCTTTCAAAAATATTTATTTTTATATCATGCAGAAAATGTAAAAGTGAATAATTTTCTTCGAATATTGTAAAAATTCACACATATCGCTGAAAAAAAAGTTTGTCCATCACTGAACAATTGTTTTTCATGGCCAATCATGATCTTAAAAATTGTAATTTTTATTTAAATTTTGTTATAGAGAATGTGGAATTTAAATAAATAATTACTCTTTCTTCAAATTATGATTCATTAAAATGCACTAAATAGTCAAACGATACATGATTCTACAGATAACGTTAACTGCAAACACGAATCTCCCGAAGAGACCTGGAATACTCTCGCAACAGAGAGTTAAGCGTGATGTTTAAGTTTTACAATAGATGACAGTGTCGAAAGTTAAACACTTGATACTGAGTATTCGGTAAATATTTTAGAGAGGTAAAGATAAGACTCGCGCTATCCATTTAATATCAATTTTCTACTGCAACTTTTTACTAAATATAAATTTGATAAAAAATAGTTAAATATCGCTTGTATCTTTCCTAATATTGATCTTAAAGATTTTAATTTTCTATCACGTACGTGAACATTATAAAGAATACTCTTTGGAAATTCTGTCTCGAAGAACCAAAACGCGATTTGAAGTTTGACGAACTCTAAAGTCGATACTCGTTAATGTTGGTCTACTTCGAAGAACTTGCAATTGTTTAGCAAGTTGTTTAACAACTGCGAATCAATTTGGTAGGATTTCCCTTTTTCAGTTACAATTCTCCTTGTCGTACTGACGAAATTTCGCTTTGGAAACTACGGAATCTCTCGGAGGTTTATAAGAATACTTAATTTGCTCAAAGTTTAAGAGCTTTCAGGTTGATTTTGGCAAAAAGTATCAAAAGAAAAGAGAAAAGAGAAACAAGAATTTATAACAAGTATTTACTATTTACAATAGGTATTTAACGATTTGCAACAAGTACATAAATATTTACAAGGTGCTATCGTTCGATTTAAACCATTTGTCAATGTCTTTGGAAAATTCTTACGATGTGTTCGAAATAAATTACTTGGTCGCACAGTACTACATTGATACAAAAGCTGCAGAGTAAAATAGAATTTTAAATTCGAGGGGAAGCTTACAATTTGAATATTTAACTACAGGAAAATCGTCTGAATTTCCGACGATCTTGATCTTCTTCTGCATCCACCCGACTTGAATAATACACCAAAGTTATGTGCATCTTTCTATGCAGAAAGAAATCCTTGCGCCTGCAACGTTAAATACACGCGATTAAATTTCAATCAGGGAACGAACATCTCCATTCCACCGAATTTCAATCGGACGAGAAAAATCGACACCATGACAACCGTGCTGAAAAACCAATTTATCAATGAAATTCGATTATCAACGAAGAATAATCGAGGATCAATTGGCGAAAAACAATCGATGGTAACTGGTGAAGTGTGAAAGAGAGCGAGAATCGTGAAATTTATAGGTGGAAAACCACGCAGCCATAGATGTGCCCAGAGAAAAGGGTTTCACGGATCGTTCGCTTGACAATCGTTCTTTTTCGTGGATCCTTGGGATGATCGTGCCCGATGGTGTGTCCTCGTCCAACCACACCACCAAGCTAGAAGAAGTCTCGACACATAATCGATATTCAATCACGTACGACGACATCTTCGTCGTTGCCCCAGTTCCGAAACAGGCGGCTGGGTCGTGTGATTCGCAAAACCGAGCATGGGGGAAAAATCCCAGGGCTGAATTTTCCAGAATTCCAATACGTCTCCTAGTTATCTGACGCCATGTCCTCGATTTTTCGAGCCAGCC